TCTGATATTGACGCATCTAATAATGGCTTAAAAAATAATCCAACATTGAAGAATACGTCACAAGCTCTAAAATTACAGATCCAATTGCGGTTACTTATCTTTTGTGAGTCAAGCAAAGAGAAATATTAAACGGGGATATCGGAAAAGATTTTATTAATAGAATTAGATACTTCCCCTCCGATCAGAGCACGAGATATCACCGTAACCAGAGAAACGGTACCGGTACGACTGTGTTCATGCCAATATAAAACTGAGATAATTCACAAAAAAATGAACGCAGACATCTTCTCCGAGATGTTTATCGCATTAATATAATACGGCATTAAGATTACAATGGGTCGGCTCCAGAGAGGTCCAATATAAGGAGCTCACAGGCTTCGCGTGCTTTGTTGTGAAAATAACTTTATGCCTCAGAAGGCGGGGACAGTATAAAGCAGAAACGGCTTTCAATAACGCCAATGGGCCCTCTATAATATATACTTTTGTAGTTCATATCCTTTGTGCAATAACGTTACGTCTGATATAATCCACGTTTGTTCTGGGTCTAGGTTCTGTTTATTCAAATGGAGCTATGAGAATATCCGTGGGTTTGAGGGAGTGCGTACGCTCCATTATTTCGAAGCCTAAAATGGTAGCATGCAAGCACTTGCAAATAGCTTACACGAAAGCGAGGCCCAGCGCAAACCAGATAGGCATCAAGATCAACAGCGCCGCTTCTATACCGCCGCGGAATCGCCGCTCTGCAATTACAAATGGGATATTTACAGCCAGTCCATTAGACGATATTTTAAGCTTATTCCGATCTTCGATCTATTGAATCAGGCACGCAACTGCTTGCCTTTGTTATCCACTTGGATTCCTGCATTGTTTATTGGCGCTGTCTTATACTTTTTACCATCGCAGGTTTTTTCTTCGTCTTTCTTTCTTTAGTCGTGAACGTAAATTCGTATTTTTATTACGAACAGCTAATTTAAGACACGGGCTGAGGATCACGACCGCTTCTTTGAGAGTTGCCGTGGTCTCGGAACTATGCAAATATTAACTTTGTAAATACATTCTAACCACAAAGGTTCACAGATCATCAGAAGTTTCAAAGAGTTCCATGAGTTTGTTTGTACTGATATCGAATTCCGTTTGAGTTTAATATCCAAATATTATCTCTGGCTGTGTTTATTTATTGATAGCAGAAAGTTAATCGTAGTACTACGAGTATTTACTCGGCCGAAAAGCTCGCACGGCCGGATTTGTGGCGCGATCGGTATGAAGAGACTGAATTTATTACTTCATAAGTCATGAGGGTTAAGTAATAATCGTTGACAATGGGCAATAAAGAGTTTATAGGCAGTAAAGTTCGATCCACTCGCAACGCGCCTCAGAAGTCAACTGCACGATTTCGAATTATAACTCCTTGTACACACCTCGTGAAATAGCACCTCCCTACCGTAATGGCTTTTTGATGTTCCAAAATATTTTATAAAAATAAAGTCTGTTTTTGCTGAAAGGCAATTTGGTAATAGAGCCGCTATTCTATACAATAATAAAGTGAATAGGGAACTTAATATTTACCCGTTATCTTATGTCAAGTGCAAACATATTGTAACTGAATGGTTAAAGTTAAAAAATTATGATGAAACAGAATCTCTGATGACAGGTTAAAGATACTTTAATTTTAAAAATATTGTAGGGTAACCAGACACACACACACACACTCACTCTCTCTCACACACACACACACACACACACACACACACACACACACACACACACACACACACACACACACACACACACACACACACACACACACACACACACACACACACACACACACACACACACACATACTTACTCAAAATTGTTTCGTATTAGTTATGGCACTAACGCTTTTGCTAATAGTATCATTTATTTTGTAATTTTACTATAACATAGAAGAGCGGAGCTTCCTAACACAAGCAAAACTGGTTGCTTAATGGGAAGCCCCAAATACTTGTAATGAAAAATGTGTAAAAGTTACCGAAATAAACTTTATTAAACTTTATTATTATTATAAAATAGACCTTCGTTCAATCCAAACACGAATTGATTCTTCATATCTCATATCAAAGTAAATATTGAGAAGTTATCTAAATTAAACAGTTTGAAAGTGTCAATATCTGTAAATAACGACGTATTTATCTAACTTTTCGATGGTGACGGTAATCTTTTACGATCTTTATAACGTTCAAGTAAAATTCTCAACTGAATGGTATCCCATTTTAAATATAAATTACCAAACCTTTTGCTTACCACACCGTTTTCTAATATAACCAGTCAGGAATGACTTTAAACCAGTTATTGAACCATTTGGTTAACAAGAAGATTACTTACAGTCATCGCTGGGCATTAACTTACTTAATGACAAGCCTTCACTGGCGCAATCGTCTATATTAATTGATATAAATATTTCTACTTATAATATAAAAGTATAAAATTAGAAACCAATGAATCATAAAGCGACGATAATCCATTACCAAGATTATAGTGTTTATTATCTCAAAACATTTTCTCATCCAGGTGTTTAATATGAGAATGCATCATGACTCACGGCTTACGATGAAAATAAATTAAACTGCAAAGATAAATATAGTCACGCACATACCACGATACACCGTCTCCGTCTTTCACCGAAGTTGTGAAGCGATCAATTAGGTGGTTTTGTTAGCACAAGCGATCACCATAACAGCATTGACGAAGATAATTTCAAACAATGGGTTGGGCGCTTACCAATTTGTTTACACTAATTTCTGTAAACAAACGTTTGGCGTGGAACGGGTCAGCGGTGAGGCAAAGCACACAGCTCGCGGCAACAGCATTACAAGGAAGATAATCTTGCTGCGGGTGAATGTTTAAAATAAACAGGACCGCGGCCGCCGCTTCCTATCACAACATTATTGTTTTGATTGTCCGACCATCCTCATCCTCGACGTGGCCAACCGAGAGAGCTATTATCCATGTACTCATAGCTCGAATAAATTGAGAGCCTGATATAATTTTAAATTGTTTAGATCGGGCGCATGATGAACCTCTTTCAACGCAAATAGCCGGCAAGATTAGCCGTAGAAAACTAAAACCTCATTATTTTCTCATCACTGTGCGCTCCAGGATCGGCTAACAGAACGTGTTTTCATAAGTTTCCTTAGAGTAATACGGAAGCCGCTGAAAATATTAAGCTTTAACGTAATTATGGTGCCCACAAATGAGTTGATATTGTTCACTGAGCTTTTTGAAAGTAAAGCTGACTTGCTAAATATAGATTTGAAATTCGATGTTTCCAAGGTTTAAATGATCTGAGCTGACTTGGCAAAGTGTAATGAGTAAAATAAGACGATCACAAGAATCAGACAAAACAGCTGTTTAATATCATGGAGGCTGTCTTGATGCATAAGTGCTCAATACGAAAATAGCACCAGCCTGAAATGATACAAAAGCAATTAACATAAATTGCGGTTAAACTGATATATTTTAATACCCGTGGTCAGAAAAGAAGCAGCTTTAAAATTTTTTCGTGACAACTCACGTACAGAACCGGAAAATTCCCACAGCTAGTCAGGTACAATACCAGTTGGCGTAATAACATTGATTTTATCTCTGACCACAGAAATGACACATGCTCAGACATAAACGTTTATTTGTCATGGCTGGCCCTTTCACACTTAACGCGATGGGGATCAACGAGTTTTGTAATTTGTAACCGTATTATAAAGTTATATTTGAATATTTATTCAAAGCTAGATTTTCCGATAGTTTACAGTAGAGGTACTAAATAAGTATATCATTTACATTTCAATAATGAAGCCGTAAAAGTGTCTACATAAAACGGCGAAGCTTACTCATAGATATTCGATTTTATATTCTTTTGATAATGAAGAATACATAAAAATTCTGTGTCTGAATAAAATATGTTCATATTATGAAAAATATTATCATAATACCTATTTTAGGTGATTCTGTGAATGATAAAACTACAAGTTAGATTTGCCCAATATCCCGTAAGTATTTGATTCATCTGTAAACTTTGCAGACGTATTTTGGAAATGCATTTTTTTTGGAGTGAGAGAATATGACAATATGACACCGTCATTATTTTCAGAAAATCTATCCCAAAACCCTAGACTTGTGAAGCACAAATAGCAATATGTATTTGTTCTCTGGGACATGACACTTCGTATGCAGCCGCCGCCGTGTTTGCCCAGGCCGACAGCCTGTGGAATGTTAGGAGTCCATCGATAATGACGAGCAAATACGACACGGTAATGAGACAAGCCATCCTGGAGCCGTGTGAAGAGTTCCGGAATAACACGGCCGTGTCAACAGCCCTCAAGTGGCAAGTTACTATAACTGACACTGGCACCTGCTTCAATGCTCTTTTAGCATCTGTAAATATGCCTTGCCTCACACCTCTTTAAGACACAGAGGTATTAACTAACTGAGGTAATAAGAAATCTAATGATAGGTAGGATTTTGAAATTAGATGCAATACAGCATTAAATAAACATAAGATTCTTGTCATTAAGTGTACCTAACAATACTATAAAGAAACGAAACCAAAGACCACAGACACAGTCGTATGAGCTTTCATAAATAAAACATTTTATACAGACCCCTCCCCTTCACATTTCATTGAATGCTATAATGTGTTCAAAACAGTGCGTTAACGACATATCCAGGTGTTGGAAACCAACAAAGAGTTTTTACACTTTTTATACTTTTTATTACTTTTTCTTCTAAACAAAATAAAATCAACTTCTTCACTTTGACAGCTCAAGAAAGTTGTTTTATTAATACATTTTTTATCCATATTTTAATTCAATAATTCAGTAATACAATAATTAATTTATGTCATAAGCAACATCAATTTGGTGCCGAAACCCATACATCATTCATATTGGTTTTTTTTGTGTGCTGCTGGAAAATTATCCCGAGGGCCAACGCCGGCATAGTTGCCGATTGCAGTAGGTATAATGGCTACCCAGGTTTGTGGTGACACTAACCAAAAAACCAAGCATTTACAAGGGCAGTGCAAGGCCGCTATAACACGATGTGTTACCTTTTTGAACAAGAAGACGGACCCGAGTGTTTTCGAGTTGACGAACAGAAGGAAAGCAATAGAAGAAGCGTTCGCGCGCTACCACCAGCTGGCGGACGAGGCCATTCTGCAAGGCCAGGAGGTGTTGGACGGTGAAGAGGAGTTCGAGGACCGCTATTACGATGTCCTTTCCCGGATCGACGCTCTTCTGGACCGCCGCAGCAGTGCTTCGCCGCTGGGGTTTGCGTGTGCCGTGGACGCTTCGACGCCGCTGTTCGAGACCACGAGGCTGCCTCCGATAGAAATCCAATCGTTTGACGGTAACAACGTCTGTACATACAAGCCATTCATGGAGCTTTTTATGGCATTAATAGGCAAAAACTGTAAGTTATCCAATGTACAAAAATTATATTATTTAAAGGGCTATTTAAAGGGCGAGGCTTTGAATCTTGTAAATAATCTGCCTCTCATAAACCAGTCGTACGATGATGCTATTGCTTTGTTAAATAGGAGATACGACACTAAGGGACTAATGATTAAAACGCATATTAGTGCTCTTTTAGATCTGCCTAGTATTACGCGCCAAGTCACACAACATTAACTATAATAATAAAGAAATCGCAGTAAGGAACCATAGACTTGGCACGACTTTGTCTAGATTTCATTACTTTTTAGAGATAAACAAGCAGCTCCATCGAGACTTGGCTAGTTTTTTACAGAATGTTTTTGGTGGGATTTAATCGACAGGACACCTACGAGCGAGCATTGACGCACGCACGCGTATTCTTCACCCATTTGCATCATAGGCTTGTGTAAGACTTATTATTTTTATTCTACCTGTATCCCAACTAATATTATAAATGCGAAAGTAACTCTGTCTGTCTGTCTGTCTGTCTGTCTGTCTGTCTGTTACGCTTTCCCGCTTAAACCTCGCAACCGATTTTGATGAAATTTGGCATAGAGATAGTTTGAGTCCCGGGAAAGAACATAGGATAGTTTTTATCCCGGTTTTTGAAACAGGGACGCGCGCGATAAAGTTTTTCTGTGACAGACAAAATTCCACGCGGGCGAAGCCGCGGGCGGAAAGCTAGTCATAATATAAGCTGTATGTTTTCCAAATAAAGAAAATAAAATAAAGACAATAAAGTATGTAATGTTGTATGATGGAAAGTAAAAAAAAAAACTGTGGTGTAAAAAAATTCATACTGTGCAGCATTTTAACTGCCTGAATATTAATAGAAACACGAAATCATGTATTTCCTCCGCCATTTTCCCCAGTTTGGCACCTCACATCACACATCATTTTACCGAAGTCAGCCCTATGGCATCGGCGCAGTATCGATCACTGACGTTTGTCAACAAAATGGTGCTCGACTCTTGAGACAAGCTAAATTACACCATATTATTATTGTTGACGATATTGAGCATGTATTTTTAAATACCTTCGCGAAGGAAACCTTCTGTACGCCTAGTACTTATTATTATTCTGTAAAACTAGCTTTTGATCGCGACTTCGTATGTACATGTCACCGAAACATTGAGAATTCCACCAGATTATAATCTGAAGTAGTTAAATTACAATTTAATCTAACCTAACTCACTGTTAGTTTACAATTTTACGCGTTATATTATAAAATGACAGCGGGAAAAATCGTTACCTGTTTCGAATTTTTAGCTTCTTAACTTTATTCTGTTTGAAAAAATAAAGAACACATAATTTATTGTTTTTTTTTCATCTGTTTCAGGTAAGCCATTTGATAAATAAACACTCTGCAATGACTGCCAGATAAAAGTAAGTTTTGTATAAAATTATGTATTAAATTAAGTATCAGCTCGGATGTTAAACTAATAAGGTCGCCCCCGGTCTAAAATGTAAGAAAAAGAAACTTGGTTTATTTTCGTTTATTTGTATACTTTTTTGCGGTGAAGAATAGTGGACTTCGATCTTACAATAATTTCTTTTACGTCTGTTAAGAACATTTATTTACATTTAATTATTCTCGACACGTTTCGTCGAAAAGGTATTACTTTTTTAAAATAAGTGAGTTAGTAAAAAGGTAATTATTTTGAGTGATATACCTACTTCTAACGACTTAATAAATATGCTGTGCTTACAAGAAGAAGAAGTTCTACGTGTTATTTTATTTTACGTAAAAAACAAGGTAAGTTCTCATTCAAATTACCTATTAGAAATCGTAAAACCATCCTACCCTATAATCAGATACTAAAACACGCAGACTTTAATACACCATCTTGTATTGCATGAACGAACAGCATGCTTTTAATGTTTCCATGCCCGTTACATAGCTGGCGCTGTGCTCCGTTGAATCGCGGTGGCGACTTATTCTTTGGGTCATATATAAAGCCTCCGAGACGTTTCCGTCACCACTTATTAAAGCCTAAGAGGAAACGTATGAGCTCATCTTTTCCTTTGATCTCATCTTTTCCTTATGGTTGTGAATTAGATATTAGCAACCACAAATTGTCGTTATTTTTGTAAGTGCTGCAGTAGCTTAACTACTGTAGTGCTAGTAACAAGATACAAAACCGAGTGGTTTCGGCAGAATGGAATGCCATCAAAAACAAACTTGTAAAAAACCGAGTCTCGCAACTTAGTTCTTCTACCGTAAAAAATTGTGAGATCCATATAAATACTAATGGTGGATTCGACCAAACAAGAGTAAATATTAATCTCAGAATAAATCGTCAGTTTTCACATATTTCCTTTTATACTAAAACTGTCAATAAGCTAGTTATACCAGGAGTTATTCTCGGATAAAAGTTTGGTCGAATCGGGCCTAAGTTAGTTAATTTATTCAGTCCCTACTTAAGGAACCTTCTTATGTTATTACGTAATTAGCTAACCTAAAAATATCTTAAATTGACTAATACCAATATTAAAAAATATTAAGGTAAGTTTCTATTCAAATTCTATCAGACCCCAAAACAAGGAATGCGAAATTTAATACCCCATCTTGTATTGCATGAACGAACGGCATGTTTTTAATGTTTCCATGCCCATTACATAGATGGCGCTGTGCTCCGTTGAATCGCGGTGGCGACTTATTCTTTGGGTCATATATAAAGCCTCCCGAGACTTTTCCGTCACCACTTATTAAAGCCTTAGAGGAAATGTATGAGCTCATCTTTTCCTTTGATCTCATCTTTTCCTTATGGTTGTGAATATTATATATTAGCAACCACAAATTGTCGTTATTTTTGTAAGTGCTGCAGTAGTTTTTTATGGCAATACTAGCCAGTGACGGTTCTATTTTGTCAACTCAATAAACTACTTTTTAATTACAATGCAACTAAAATCTTAATTTACAGGTAATTTCAAATTAATTAAGATTTAAGACCAGAATGAAGTGCCTATTTAAAAAAGTTGTGCTTTATTTAACGGGGAGTGGTGGCAAATACCCAATTGACCACCCCGTCTCTTCGAGTGGATGTCGTAATAGGCGAGAAATATCTGAAAATGTGTGTTGAAATTCGAACGAATCGGTTTTATGCGGGACACTGCAAACGGATATTCGTGTGAACGTTAATATACACGTATAAGTACCACTAAACGGCAGCAAAAAACAGTTCCTGTAAAAAACGGGATAGATATGACCGAAAAATACCTTGCCAAAGCCAATATGTATTAAACTAGGTGTTTTTAGTAATTATTGTGGGTAGGTTACCCACAATATGCGCGTACGATACACCTTTATCTGTTACTGTGCAGAAGAATCTAGCATCGTCAAGCAAGTAAGGTCCAAATGTCATTTGCGTAGAGTGCACATTTCCTTGACCTTAACCTTAGGTGACTTATTTTCACCAAGGAACTCGAACAGAGTTGTTAAATAATGCACCTTAAATCTACGAGATTTGGGCTCAGTTTGATCGGCACCTCCTAATGACTGTATTAATATATTATTTTACCAATTAAGAGTAGGCGCACACCGTTGATTTTTCGTCGGCCGATAGTTTAGTCGGGCAGTTGATCAGTATGGGCATGTACGGGAGTGCGCACACTACGCCGCGATTCTATTTGGCCGAATCTTTAAACAATTTTAAATCGGGCACAATAATCGGTCAACTAAAACGGTGTGCGCATACTCTAAGGGCTCTTTCCCACTGAGATGTCCCGTTTTTTGCAGGATCCCATTTAGTAGTACGTGTTTTAATATTAACGTTCACATGAACATCCCGTTTGCAGTGTCACGAAACCAATCGGTTCGAACTTGGAATTCGAATTTCAAACATGACAATGTGTTCTTACACGACATTCCAGTTTTGCAGGATCCTGCATTACTGGATTCCGCACAACTGGCTTGCCGTGGGAACGAGTCCTTAAAACTATAGATCGTTTCATCCACGAAGACGCGACCAGACGCGTCCCACCATTCTTCCGAGTCTTCCACCTTCGGCCTGGTCGTCACTTACCATCAGGTGAGATACAGGTCAAGAGCTTCCTCGATGTGGATAAAAAAAAATCCACTAATGTTTGAGTGTTATCGGTACACGCTAAATTATCCATGAGTGCACACGCACACTACAATAATGACGCTCGGATTGCTCGGATCAAACTCCCCGCACCCCGCGCTTCCCTCGACCAAAAATTGGTGGGGCGCGTCTTCGTAGATGAAACGATCTATAAAATAAAGGACAGTGTTAAGCTTCAGGTGCCGTCGTGTTTATTAAATGGTGCTGCTTGAGCCACTCAGCAGCAAGGACAAAAATTTAGATCTCAATACCATAACTTACCTCATCATCTCAGCCATAGGGCGTCCACTGCTGAACAAAGACTTTCCATGGTTGCCCGGTTGGTAGCGGCCTGCGTCCAGCGCCTGCCTGCTACCTTTATGATGTCGGTCCACCTTGTGGATAACATAACCGACCTATTTCAAACTAATTTAGCAGTAAATATCACTGGATTGTGTGTTTATTAGTATGCCCAAACAAAAATCTTATCTGCTTAAGTACTGACTTTGTAAAACTTTGCCACTGAGATGTAACTGCGCACAGTGACATCTATCGGTGATCAATGCAATCTTGAGTTAAACTGTTAAAAAATATTTAGTTTAATTAGTACTTCCTTGCAAATAAAACTGGATTCCCGTAAGAAAGGGCCTTTAAGGCATATTATTATACTAATTAGATAACAGTATAAAAGACATAGCATAAAAGTCAAAGTCAAAAGTCAAAGTCAAAATTTCTTTATTTGTTTAGACTAATAAATAGTTCTTACAAGCAAGCATAGCAAAGCAGTCACTAAATTAATCTATCACAAGTGTTACATTTTACTATTGTGTAGGTATAGTCCAGTCATTATAGTAAGTTCACCTCGGAATTCGAGATACCCAGCTGTAAGTCTGTAAATACGTGTATATTGACACCCTAAAAGTTGTCTCAAAACCTACATATGGTAGGGTGTAAGCAACTATTAAATTTCAAGGTCAACGGTCACAAAAATAGGTTTTTTGCTCTTTTTTTAGAAATATCTCATTTCCTATGGGTTTTTTGCTATTTGTATTTATTATCAATATTGTAGAATACTAAATTCTCTAGAAATTTTGTTTAAAAACTTTTTTTATACGGTGAACCGTTTTCGAGATAGAGGGCGGAGAGCGCGCGGTCACTGCATCACTTCAGGTCTACTTAAGCGGTTTAGATTTTTCATACAAAAGGATTTTCCCGCTAATTCCTGTGGGAATTTCGAGAATTCCTTGTTGTAACTAAGCTTTGAGTTTACTAAGGTAGGGGAGAGGGGGGCAGCTTTGGACAGGGGCAGCTTAGAACAAATGAATTTAAAAATCACTGGTTTAGGCTACAATGGTATAAATCATAATTTATATTGCCAGCACTGATGCGCATAGCTGTCACATCTCATTTTTAATATCTAAATGTAGGTTAACCGGCAAAAGCGGTTTTTTGTTTTTGACTGCCAATTTCGCACTTTTTTATTTTGGTTCTAAGGATTTTGTGGACGTAGTTTTATAAAATAGTGAGTGGTTTGTTTACTATATGGAAGTTTAAATAGTTTCAATGAAGATTTGATAAGAAATTGCGATATAAAAGTATGTTCCGTTATTAAATTTATGTTTTTTTCTGGAAATATACCCATGGGGCAGCTTTGAACGAAATGGTTGGGGCACCTTTGAACTTTATAAATTTTCTTTTTTAAGTGGTATTATGAAACCTTAAGTTTTCTAATACTTCGTAGAAGGTTTTTACACAAAAAATAAGCAGATTGCTTTACTGTGACAGATAAAATTTCAAGCTGGGTGAAGTCCGGGCAAAAGCTAGTTTTAGTAGTTGATTGATATTATTTAAATTATGCAGTTTTGTCTTTGATGTGTCATTAAACAGAAAGTTTATTAGTATTTAGTTAATTGATATATCTTATATTTACTTTTTTTTTAATAATATCCCTAAGTTTTGTGTTACTTTGTACAGAGTGATGTAAAATAAAATAAACATGTTAAATTGATCCCAAATGACACTGATCATTTAAAATTTTGTTTATTAATTATTTTAAAAATACATATTCATAAATATTCAGTTTTANTATTACGCTTGGCACTGCCCAGGCCATCCGTTCCTTAGTGTCACAGATTTCGCAGCAAATGAGCGCGCTACGTAGCTATGATGAGCCCGTTGATAGCTGGGACTCCATATTGGTGTGCATCATGATGAAGAAATTAGATTCACTGACTGTAAGATTGTTTAGTGCAGAGCAGGACTATCGTAACATGCCCAGTATGGAGTCGCTGGTAAGTTTCCTAGAGAGACGTGCTATCTCGCTGGAGGCTAGCTCGGCTTGTGACACGAGCCGTACAGAAAGGGCTTCGAGGTCTTTTCATATTTCCACTTGTAATACAAAACCTAATCCAGAGTGTAATAATGCAAAATCAACAATGATTCCTTGTTTGTTGTGTAAAAATGACTATCACAAATTGTACAAATGCCCTACTTTTTTATTGATGACTAATTCAGAAAGGCTTTCACATGTAAATAATTACAATTTATGTAAAATATGTTTAAATAAGCATGCACAAAAATGTAGATACCATTTTACATGTTCTTTATGCAAAGAGAATTCCCATAATTCTTTAATACATAATAATTCATTTGAACAATCAAAATCTGTACATAATATTAATACATTGCATGCATCCAACAATGTAAATAATTCATGTCAATCTGAAACTGTACATACTCATCCAAATAATAATTTGTTTCCCACTACTTATTCACACAGGCAAAATAATATGCCTCATGTCGTCAAGACTGTATTAGACTCAGGGAGTCAAGCTTCTTTTTGTAATCAGGCCTTAGTCGTCATGCCAGGTCTTCATACATATTATAATACAAAGGTATTTCATACATTGGGTCAAACTCGATGGGGGTCTTGGTGACTCTGATCCATTTATAAATATGTTTACGATGGTTTTCATTGCTTTTACATTATGATATCTTTTTATTTATACAAGTGAGGAAACTTGAACCAAGTTTATTTTTATTTACATTAATTTCAGTTATCTTTCAATATGAATGTTAAGTGTTTTGTGTTTGTTTTAATTGTTTATTATGTGTTAGATCGCATACTATTCAAAAATTTAATGTTACATCGACCGGTAGGTACATTTCCAGAGATTGCTAAGATCTAGATTTCATGATTGTTTTGATTTATACACCTGAAAATGTTATCCTTCATAATTGCATTTTAAGAGTAATTGCAAGTTCAGTTATTTTAATCATAAGCTTTTATTCATTGTTTAATACAAATAACTTAAATTCTAGTGCGTGTTGCATTTCGCGCGCGAAACTATGTTGGAAACCAACAAAGAGTTTTTACACTTTTTATACTTTTTATTACTTTTTCTTCTAAACAAAATAAAATCAACTTCTTCACTTTGACAGCTCAAGAAAGTTGTTTTATTAATACATTTTTTATCCATATTTTAATTCAATAATTCAGTAATACAATAATTAATTTATGTCATAAGCAACACCAGGAAGTAAATCATATAAGGCAAAGCAGTACGTGGCTGTGAAGCAGTAAACTTAGAACACCCGAAAAGGTCGCCACAAAATTAAATCAAACTTTTTTCTCTAAGGAATAATAGCTATATTCGTTCGACCTTAGAAAAGAAAACAAAGTTTTTATTCTTCCAAAATATTGTGAGAGAGTTGTGAATTTTCATTCCTATCAACTTATTCTTTACTCAACTGTAATAAGATGTAGAATCCCTCGTCGCATTGCACATATTTAATTTAGTAGGGATCGTAAAGATTCGCTTACCTGCTTGTTTGTTGTGTAGGAAAGGGCCCGTCGGGCGTAGAACCTTTTTTTACAATCAATTTTATGTGTGGGAATTTTAATGTGGACCAAAAATGGCACGTTCTCTTCTCCACAGATGGGCCACATTTGGAGCCGATACTTGGCAAACACGTGTCGCGTTCACTCATAAAATCTTTAGTAACGCCCGACCTTGTGTTGTACATTTTTGTGCGATGATAACGGAATGGGCATTGTTTTCGTGTTTTGTTGTTCATTTGTTATGTCGTAAAGCTGCAGCTGTGTATTTTCAATTACGCGCACGGAACAAATGATTGATGTGTAAAACAGTTTCTTTCCTCACTCGAAACGAGTTTATCGCCGCAATCGATATAGCGAGGCTACTATTAATTTTATCGTCGTGGCTGCGGCGTGATGCGAGGGTTCAGAACTGCAAGTCATGCATCTCACATTCGTCCGCACTCTTGAGCCGGTCCCATGGAATTACTCCAATCATTTAAAATAAACATGGCTTCTCCGAAGTGGCGGAGAGGTAGCTATTGGATCTATTGCGTGCCAACATAAAACCCACATTGATTTATGATATCGTTCGCGGGCCTTTATGCATCTGCCGCTTTTTTTACACGCTGCACCTTTCAAAACACATTAACCACCTTTATGAGTTTGCGCTCCTTTTTAGCACAGGTTAAATTAATTTCGAACTATTTATGACTGTGTGAAGTGATATTCTGATTGAAATTAGTATCCATTCTTTGACTCGGAGATAAAGGGTGATAAATCGCATTCAGTATCTTCGCAGTTTTTGTTTTGAATGAAATACCTTAACAATGAGAACTTGATTTATATTGTTGTAATTAAATAAATATTCTTCACTCAGCGTTTAATTTCTATTCGTAATCGACTAATAAGAAGTAACTAATGTTTGAAGCAGCTGGAATCCTAGCAAGAACCCGGTCGCGTCGCCGCGGGACGCCCCGACAATGGCAACCAAATTAAAAGGAACCGTAAACGCTTGAGCCTTGCTAAAATTTATTACACCCAGCTTTTTTCTCTTGTTTCGTCCACTAATGAGATTCGAATGCTGCAGCTGTATTTGAAATGTCGGGCGAAGATTAAAAAAATTCGCTCACCGTGGAGATATCTCACCGCAATTGAAAACGTTTTTGTTTTTGCAGCCGATTCCCTGTTTGTAAAGACGGACGAGAACCAATAATATACCTTATGCACGTATCGAGACTCGCGGGTAGCAGCTAGATTGCAGAACGCCTTATTGCAAACGATAGGTGCGATGGGAACGACTATGTTTTCGGATTTGGTGTTCTGTCTCGTCGGAGTAAAGTTGGTATTTGGCTGATAGCCGGAGGCGTCGCGGGTGGTCTGCACTATGTTGACTGTGTTGAAGTGAAGCGGGAATGCAAATTTCACTAGTGTTTCTGGTCTCCGTGCTCTTGAACTCTGTAGCGACTAGATTGAGTCTATTAACCGTAAAGATGGCAGAGGAAATTAATCGGGCAACTTATTAGTGTACGTGCAATGAATTGCTCCAGCTACTTACTTATTTGACGTAAGTAGTTTGTCTCGCAAACCACTTCGAAATTGTTTTGTTTATCAAGTTCTCTTGGGGTTAAGTTGTTGTTTTGAATGTAGCTTGGAACTATTTGTTATCATTGTTTTGTATAACATTTAGTTTATGTTTTTGCTTTTTATTACCAGCTAACTTCACAATATTATCATTCAAACTGTTAACGTTAGCAATAAAATCAAATTAATCGATGATGTATTTGCTTTTTTGCTCCTAACGCGTGACGCGAAGGGGAGACCACCGAGCGTCGGATCTGGCACAAAAAAGGGAAAACGGCGTGGAACGAATGATGCAATAAGAATTAAGCATAGCCAACTAGGCCCATGGAGAGGAGAGGGCTTTTGACGCCACGCCGGGGTCTGGGCACAATAGCCACGAGTACTGGAGCGTGGCTATCCAGTGCACGCTTCCGGCACCGTGGGAATCCGAAACTGGGCACATTTGATGATTGCCGTCAATTGGGCGTCGATGAGTTGCAAAGAGCCAATTATGCTGGAACTGTGATAATGTAAAAAGATCAATGGTGACGTGGTGAGTTAAATGTAACACAATTTGTAAACAATGCTGGATATGACGTGTCAAAAGTTATCTGTGGATATTAGCCAATGTTATTCTGGTTACAATACATAGCTTTAATGAGTGATACATAATTATTTGTGTACCTACTTGGTGACATAATCTTAATTTCTATGACTATTCAGAGCGTCAACAAATAGTCCATATTTTTCAATGATTTGGTCATTAAAAATATGGCAAGAAAACCAGTTGTTATTCATAAAAAGAAGAAGAACATTGCACATCTTTATAAAAACTTGATTTCAAATCCCCAACCAAGACCACTAAACCAAATTAAATGTAAAGCTACACATTAGGGTCCCGTTGATAGGTAAGCCATTGAAAGAATTTTAATCAAGCAAAGGAGCTCCCTTCAATAAATATTCCGACAATTTGTAATCAAAAGTTATGCCGTGACTTTTAGGGACAAAAGCTACAATTGTCGGTATAAAGGGAACGTCGCAATCTCAAAGAAGCAAAGTGCTAGAATTACGATACAGTATCAATCTTAATGGCTAAGGATAAAGATATAAGTTTGACATCAATAAACCATCATTTGACTAGATCTACTACATAGTAATAGGGTAGGGTAACTTTTTTATTACCTAAGTTAAGAACATAGATGGAAGCTTATAAAGGCTTCAAACAATTTACTTACACCTTCACTATACTTATAAGTTAACGATAAACCTTTACGGGAATAAATTCTTAAATAAACCATCGTTGAGGGTCCTCAAGTCATCCGATATTTAGGACAAAACTATTGATAGCGTACTTATAGTCCAGTCATTATAGTAAGTTCACCTCGGAATTCGAGATACCCAGCTGTAAGTCTGTAAATACGTGTATATTGACACCCTAAAAGTTGTCTCAAAACCTACATATGGTAGGGTGTAAGCAACTATTAAATTTCAAGGTCAACGGTCACAAAAATCGTTTTTTTGCGCTTTTTTTAGAAATATCTCATTTCCTATGGGTTTTTTGCTATTTGTATTTATTATCAATATTGTAGAATACTAAATTCTCTACAAATTTTGTTTAAAAACTTTTTTTATACGGTGAACCGTTTTCGAGATAGAGGGCGGAGAGCGCGCGGTCACTGCATCACTTCAGGTCTACTTAAGCGGTTTAGATTTTTCATACAAAAGGATTTTCCCGCTAATTCCTGTGGGAATTTCGGGAATTCCTTGTTGTAACTAAGCTTTGAGTTTACTAAGGTACCTACATGCCAAATTTCAAGCGTCTAACTTCCGTTAAGCGTTTAGATTTTTCATACAAAAGGATTTTCCCGCTAATTCCTGTTCCCGTGGGAATTCCTAAGTATACTATAACCTGCCCAGGTGTATGAAGAATAATTGTACCAAGTTTCGTTAAAATCCTTTTAAACAAAATTTGTAGAGAATTTAGTATTCTACAATATTGATAATAAATACAAATAGCAAAAAACCCATAGGAAATGAGATATTTCCAAAAAAAGCGCAAAATACCGATTTTTGTGACCTTTGACCTTAAAATTTAATAGTTGCTTACACCCTACCATATGTAGGTTTTGAGACAACTTTTAGGGTGTCAATATACAAGTATTTACAGACTTACAGCTGGGTATCTCGAATTCCGAGATTCTTACCTAATTTAAGCTTAAATGACTGGACTATTAAGAATAACGGAACAGACAAACGCCATTACGATAATTTATTATGGGCATAATTTTCTTCTAAGACCGCTTGAGCCCAGTTAATTATGTTTCTGCCTTGTCTTTGAAGCAAATAAAAGTATATCAAAGCTAAGTTATCACAGGCAAAAGTGCTTGGACAATATCATAAGTCAATTGGCAATAAACCTTCGGAATAATTTAATACTAAAAATGTTGATGCTATGATGAAGTAAATTATTCAAGACAAGAACGGCATGAATGCTTGCGAAAAGGGTGAAATTATTGGCACGCGATTTGGTAATATTTATAAATAATGAAACATGAAAGATATAAATAATTAAGTAATTGAAGATGTATTATTTGCCGCGGCAATCTATACTAGATTGCTATCGTATAAAGCTACCGTATCGAAACTCCCGCTCCAAAGTTGGCAGTAGATGCAGTAGATGCTAGTAAATAAATAATTGTTCCAACTATCACTTTCCCCAACATAGTGAATTTTGCTACTGACTAAATTACGGTTCTTTAGAACACCTACATTATTAAGTACTAACCATGCATGGCTATGAAAATGGATACAAAAATGTCCATGTATATCTATGCTTCATTCGAACTTGCAACCAACCACTGCTGACACAAGAAAGATTACCCAGAATTTGATTTAACTTTTTAAAATGTCTTGTCTTGTCTTGTCATAACTTGATTTCATTCAGAAGTAAGTAGCATTCCGCAAAATTTTCATCAAATGCACAAACATTAGACAAAGAAGCTTTTGATTTACTGGATGATCATGTTATGTAACAAAGTAAAATAAAAATAGAATCTTACTTTTTGGGGCTGAAATAAAACTACATGATATACTTAGACATACTCTTCAATACCTATGCGAAAGCTTAAATATCTTGTTAGATATCAGACCGTACCCAAAATTTATTTAAACTGGATGACTCTAGTGATACCCAATCCGTTTGGTATCCAATTAAAGACGAGGATTTCCGACTGAATTTCGAATAACTCGGGCAGATCGAACGCCTATTATGTGTGCTCATGGTTACGGCGTAAACAATAGTTCATCAAATGGTACAGGCACGTCATTTCACGGCTGGTCGGTCATTCGCCTATTTAGCACGTCCATTTTCTTGACGAGCAGCCGACGAGCACAAACTGCTCAATTGATTGCCTCTTTGCAGTACACTTTAGAGGGACCGTTGTGTCAATAGTGTTGCAGGATTTCGCTGGCTTGCTCTTTCTGGCCGTGTTGGGCTAAGTGATTCTGTATCGGCTTTTCTGTAGTTTTTCAAGCAAGTTAGTTGAATGATTCTAATTTGTTAACCGTTTACTTGATTATTTTCTTAGAAACATTAAAAAATGCGTTATTTTTTGTTAAAAGAAAAGGATTTACTATTTCAATATCGTCGGTATCTTTTTCATCATTTAATTTTACCATTAACCCTTTTGCTATAAGTATTGGTTACTGCAACAGAAACTATGTTTTTTTTTGTTGTAGGCATTATTAATATTATACATAGTTTTGTTTTGTCTCATTACAATTTTTAGCCACTTGTACAATTTTTAGCTACTTGTACATTCGACCGCACATTAAACTATATTTTTATGTTTCACCACACATTACAACTAAATACACGTCACAGTGTTTAGCTACATTTATCGTCACCCTAAAACGTTTTATGCCAAAACATATCATAAATAACACATTTTACAGACCAAAATGTTCCAATGACATCACTACATCGTGACCCTGGCTGCAACTCTGTAAGTCGGGATCAAGTATGACAACCGCAGAGCCCCAACAATGAACCGGGAGAGCTCCCGAGGGAAACTGAAACTCGTCTTAAAACCCGCAACGAACTTAATCAGAAGTGAAAACGGGACTTGGCGAAACATCTGCACTAATATAATAAGAATCAAGATGTTTGCTTGTCGTTAGGGGTTATATTAAAATTGAAACAAATATTTAATTAGATGACAAGTTTTTGTGTATTGGGAATCAACACAAAGCTCCACATCAAGAATCTAATTCTCAAAGAAATAAAAATGCTAAGTAAACGACTATTAAAATTAAATATGTTTAAGTATGACGAACAACATCCGCCCCATAAGTTCTTTCTATTGTATTTTAGAAGATAGAGGATCAAAAACTTCTACTCATTTATTCTAGAGGTCTGTCTGCTAAGTTTCCTTTCTAATCAGCTTCTTGAGCTTAATAAAATGATTTCATTGCATGAACTACCCTTGCCACTATTTACATAATATAAAAAATACAGTTCATGACTAAAAAGCCTCCTACTCATTCATTACATAATGATAAAGTAGAGACAACATAAAGAACTCAAACATACATTATCAGAGCTGCCAACAAGAAAATAAACAAATACCTACCTATCAAAATTTTTCGCGAAAATTCGCTTTATATCACTCGATTGCAGAATCCAGATAGAGTATCAGAAAAACTGCCAGAGGGGAGTTCCGTCGAACTAAAAGTCCCCAATCGAAATCTCCTCATAGTAGGGAAAAGACTGATTTATGGGTAAAACTTACCCCATAACTCATCTCACCATTCGTTACTTCAATAAAAAGAACGTCTTCTTGTAATTTATTGGATGTTATATGGATTTTTATTGTACTTGTCTATTTTAGAGTGCAGCTCAGTTATTAGATCGTAAATAAAAAAAATGATTTAATGGATCCTTGTGCTAAGATTTGGTAATGGAAAGGGGCAGGTTGGCCCCATCCTTTATGGCTTAGATAGGAGTTATCTTAATTGATGCACTTTGAACGTCTTATTTGGAATTTGATCGGAGCCGGTTTTAAAGTACGACAGCTGATAGGGCCAGGTGAAAAAGTTTTGAATGTTACAAGTATTTTTCAAGTGGTCGAAATGCCTTAAGTAGTGACATTTGGAGATAAACATTCGCTCTTTAATATATTCGAAAGAAATTCCATTTACATTCGTATAGCAGAGAATGTACCTAAACCAATAAAACATGAATATACATATTTAACGAAGCTAATAAATTATCTAAACGGTTTTATTATAATTTACGAAACCAATAAGTAATCGTTAATCAAAGTTAAACACGTTTTATAAAAAATTTAAAAGCTCTACCATTTTCTTTACATTTTCCTGCTACAACCCTTAGACACTTTATGTATTTTATATTCTATGTAAGCTTACAGAGAAGTTTAGTTTCACAACTAATATATAATATTCTAGTTACCATTTTCAAATTAAACTTTAACTTAGAGAAAATGTAAACAGTACCTGTTAGTCGTTGTCATGCGCTGTGGCTTGCGGAGGTCCCCTTTTGCAAAGTAACTTAAAGTTACAACTTTACAAAATTACTTGGCAAGTCTCAGGCGAGACTTTTCGACAAATGGAAAAGTAGAGAATGCGTCACTAAGGAGCCGATTCCATACATCCAGTCACTTTGGAACACAAGAAAACTTTGAAAACAACACTTCACTGTGAGTATGGCCACACAAAAGTTGCGGTTAGTTGTAAAGTATTTGAATAGCACTGCACAATTATTATGGTCACTCAACAAATAGTCTTATAGTCGGGATAAACCGGTTGTCGAAGTCGGTTCGCGCGTCGGAGCGGCACAGACGTTCGCTCGAAGGGACGGCGCGAGGCTCTCTGCCCTGTCGCGGCGAGGGGACGGATAGACGAAAATGGCTTCACAAGTTAATTTTTTTCTCTTTCCTCCTTTAATATTCCGCATATGGCGTGCGCGCGCATGCGTCCTAACCTCATGTAGGGTTGTAATGTAACCCGATGCACCCGCACTTTACATAACTTATTGGCCGTTTATCGGAGGCACTATTAATACCCTTTCCATGTAGGCCCTGCGTTGCTTCCTTGTACAGTGCGTGAATATTAATCCTGGTACTTTCATCTAGCCGAAACTATGCCATTAATCTCAATGTAACCTCGGTAGTGTTGGTTAAACTTGGTTAAATGGTGATGATGTGTGATGTTTACTTTGTGTATGAATTGACGCATTAATTTTACTTTAAAAGCCCTTTGCTCTATCTCTGTAGAGAGAGAAGCTTTAACATTCACTTTAGTATATTTTATCTTATACTCGTAATAATATTATCTAAAGTTCTTTAAAGATAAATAACTAAAATGTTAGTAATTTAAGCTTTTTTAGATATTTTTTTGTTACTGCAATATTAACTAATAGTTTTCACATAAAACGTCGCTTAATTTATTTGTCATAACTTATAGCGTGATATTTTCAACTTCAAAGTAAACTTCAAACTAAGTTATTCTCAAAAAGACAAACTTTTAAACAATTAGTAGGTAGGTACACTTGTTTGGATTGTAAGGGAATAAAACTAATAACAAAGCCTAAGAGAGCTTTTAAGAGTAAATTAACGAAAACTTTCGTACCAAGCTTTTACAATACATCAATTAGAGCTAGATCAATTTTATTGGTCTATTTCGGTGGAGCTTTTAATACTTAAATAAAAAATGAATCCGAGAACGGTGGCATAAATAATTTATTGCTTGGCACTTAGCAGGGCTATTACATTTATTTTGGATCACAAGTAACAGCTCTACAACTTGTCCGTAAGTTTATTATGAACGTGTATTTTGTTCCCTCCTCCCTCCACTATAGTAGAGGAGGCTCATAGTCCAGCAGTGGTACACAAGTAAAGGGCTGTTGATGATGATGATGATGTGTATTTGTTATGTAAAGGAACACGTTTGCTTAGGGTATTACACGTAGTTTTTAAGTATCATTAATTAGTAGAGTCAAAATTATAAAAATAAATTCGTTCGTTCGTTCGTTTCAGCCAAATGACGTCCACTGCTGTATAAAGGCCTCCCCCAAAAATTTCCATAACGACCGGTCCTATGCTGCCCACATCCAGAGGTTCTTCCCGTGACCTTTACCAGATCGTCGGTCCACCTAGTGGGAGGTCTGCCCTGCCCACGCTACGTCTATCGGTCGCCACTTAGAACCTTTCTGCCCCAACGGCCATCATCTTTACGAGCTATGTGCCCCTCCCACTGCCACTTGATTTTAGCAATTCTGCAAAAATAGGTTCATCCAATATTAATGTCACACACACAAAAAATATACACAGAGATTTTTCAGTGGGCGCTAAAATATCTTGTTCTCAAGGTTTAGTTTTGACATTTGTTATTATTAAAAGTACCTACTATTTTATGTATTTGTTACTGTAAAAGCTCGAATTGCAGTAAATCCTAAGATATTCCAGTAAAACCTAAGATCTACCAATTCCTAATGGTAAATGTCCCAAAAGGTTTGCGATTCGAACTCTTACCACCATTTCGTTGGTAAATCTTAGGATTTACATTAATGGCACGGTAAATGTTGAAAAACAAAACATGTCATGACGTTCTCAGGGCATCTCATCATCATCATCAGTTATTTTTTAGTCGATCGTTTTATAATTCCCCATTAAGAATTAGTCATTGTTTTATTCCTAAAACCAACATCTACCAGCTGACAGAGGTAAAACCTAGCATATACTGAATTCGAATGGTAAAAGCTCGAAAAAATCGTCGTATTTTCAGAAATACTTACATTTACCAACTCATGTCGGTAAATCCTAAGACTTACACTTAAATCTTAAGATTAACCGTAGTTCGAGCTTTTACAGTAACATATTCATCCTTTAACAAACGACTCTATGTTGTCTATCCTAAAAAATATGGTTTCAGCGATAACTCTATTTTTTTTTAATTATGTAGTTTTAAAATTTTAATGATTTTATTTAATTGTACCAGCCAAGTCTAGCATCAAGGATGTTTTAACAACAATCTTCGACATCACACATGCAAATTAAGCTTATTTATGGCACAGTAACAAAAAGTGAAAGCTAAAACTAGCTACTAGTTGGCAAAATTTTAATAAATTATTACCTTTAAACCTTCATTTACCTACATTCACTAGGTCAGTAAGATCTCCACTATCTTACATCCACTAACATTTCTAAGTAAGCTCTATTAGAGCTACAGAAAGTAATTCTGTATGCTGCCCTGCTTCTAGTAATACGACATTTAATTACAACTTCAGGGTGGGCGAGACGAACAAAATAAATGTAATTACTTAGTATAACAAAACTTTTCTTTCAGAATATTCACAACAATTCCCTGAAAGGGTGGAAGTTCTTGACTATTTTATGTAAACGTAATTAATAATTAATTACTGTAAGATATTACAAAACCTTTTTTATTACAAACTAAAACAATACATGTCAACAAATACCAGGAAAGAACTTTATTAAGTCAATTCCTAGAATTACACTTAAATACAAATGACGGAGATTACCAGCAATCATTACGAAATCCCTACATACATAATATTATAAAACAAAAATCTATAAAACTACGCAACGGATTTTGATGCAAGTCGCTTTTCTGTCTATCGGTCCCTATGTATGCTTAGATCTTTAAAACTACACAACGGATTTAGATGCGGATTTTTTAATAGATAGTGTTTCAAAAGAAAGGTTGTATGTATAAAACATGCATATTATAGAAGAGAAAAGCGGGGAAATTCCATTGCAACCGTGCGTAGCAGGGGCGGACGCTAGCATAGTTATAAAAACTTTAAAACCGTGAACATTTTATTGGAAGGATAATTTAATAAATCGACGTCCAGCAAAAAGTCACATGAAAGCGCTGAAGGAGCTGTATTAACGCATTACTGAGGTGTTAAAGCAAAGTTTCGATATGCACTCAGTGATGGTAGTATTGCGTGCGCGTCTGATAACAACTGCGCTATATCTGCGATAGTGTGGACATGCCTTTATCGAAGTTTGCGATAAGTCGGCATTTGTTTGACTTCAAGCTGTAAATTGGAATGTTTAGTGTCTTAGATGAGATTAGAAGATACAAAGTGGAATCTGTAAGTCTTAATTATATGAGTCGCAGATTAGATAATGAAAAGTTATTAAGGGCACGTTTAAATGAAATACAACAATGCTTGCTTGTTGCTTGCAATGAGTACTGGGAAAGTAGACTATCTCCCTACTTCTCTGTTTTTGCTCTACATCAATGTCTACAGGGTGTTAGGTAAATGGGTATATGAGCCGACACTAGCCCATGTTAATATGGGCATATAAATGGTATGGTGAAGTCAGAAAATTGATATCTTCATTTTAATTATCATACAAATCGGATTTTGTAAAATTTATTTTGTATGAAAATTAAAAAATTAAAATGATGATATGAAATTTCTGACTTCACCATCATACCATAATATTTATATGCCCATGTTAACATGGGCTAGTGTCGGCTCATATACCCATTTACCTAACACCCTGTATAATAAGGTTCGAGTAAAGATGTACTAACTGAGTAAGCGTACATCATCTATGCACCTCTATGCCTCATGATCATCATCAGGTGATATAAAGGTCGTACGTTAGTTTTAAGTAAAAAAATATCGAAAATATTATAGGAATAAAACGAATCGACGCCTCTATTGGTGTTGTGACATTTCGATCTCAAGCTTCCGCTATCATAAAATTCGATTTATGATAGTGACAAATACTTTCGGTGAAAAACGCGATTGGCATGCACCACTTTCTAAAGGACTTCCTTACTGATTTGACCTACATTTTTTTCACTATAATAAAGTATAAGTTGTCAACTTTTAGTTCAAAAACTGTTATAGTCGTAGCATTAGCACGGAATAACATTTCTGTGTGCCTACCATGAGTTTACGTTAGGTGTGCTCGCTAGCGACTGCGTAAAAAAATGACATTAATTGTATGACATATTGTGCAGCGCCCCTAGTGGCTACTTTCAAGAAACAAAATCTTCATAGAGATTTTTGACGTACTCGCTAGCGAGCACACCTAACGTAAACTCATGGTAGGTACACTGATCAGGTAGATTTATTAGTCATTGATCGTCCTTACAAACTTAGCTTTTTGAAAAATATTATATCTTTCAAAAAGTTAATATATAATTATATCCACTATCAGGTCACTTATCCCCCACTGAAAGAGCACTATCCTCTATTACACTGGGGAACAGTCATTTTGCGGCATGGTAGTTTAGAGTCAATTCTGTATGCGACTAGTGTGCTGAATACTAGAAAAATATCAGATTTGTCAAATTGACTCTAGATCTTGAGATAAATACTAATCACTATTTATATGAAAAAAAAAACAAAATAAAAATATCAATCTGTATAAAAAAATATTTACACTAAGATCCTATTTAAGAACGATATAAAAATTAAAAATATATTTGCTTTTCATCAAATAATAGAAAAAAAAACTACAAAAAGCTTTTTCTGTAAGCTGTTATGTTATGGTTTTGGTCAGGAAAATTCCATATTTATGGCAACAGTAATCAGCCATCATCTAGCGGGCCCATTGACCGTGGATATCATTCTTCCACTATCCTGATGTTCTGGTAGAACCGTTCTGCTTATTCCTCATTGGAATCACCCAGATTATGGGAGAACCTGTCCAAATGGTTATTGTAAAAAAAAAAATAATAAGTACATACTCTTATGTGTAAAATTTTTAAAACAATTTAGCAACCAATTCTGAGAAGTCTGGTGCTCTTTGACTCCCCAAATATTGTTTGACTACTAAAACAATGCTTAGCCATGCTTCAGATTCAATTTGT